GCCATAAACGGATCTGATGACCTCTTAGAGAAGTCATGTGCAAATGCAACTATACTCAGTAAAGAACACTATTCAACAATGGTTGGTACTGAGAAGGGATCTTTTAGCTTGGAGGTGGCATGGGAACATGGATATATACAAAAATAAGAAAATTAAACTAAAGCCAATTAATGCTTTCCTCTAATTCATTTCATTCTCGATTCTAAAGCAATGGACACTCGAAAGGTCACACTCACGTCCGTTCAATTTACCTTCACTCACCCAAAGCCAGTTCAAACTTTAATCCATGTCTATGGTTTTACATTAAGGCTGAGTTTGGAAAGTAGTACAACAAACATGAGAGTGTAAAATTTTATTGGGAGAATGACGGTTTGGCCTAGGGTCAGAATTTTTATGCTCAAAGTATAGTTGGGGTTTAAGTTAATTGTACTGTGGGCATTGACGTATAAAGGGGGTTTTTGATATATTGAATGTTGATAGTTCTGAGGTAAAAATCAGAAATCTGCATTGGGCCTGTCTGTATTTTTTCATATATTTTATATTGTTTTGTATGTATTTATATTATATATTTGTATTTATACCTAAATTATAATGCAAATGAATTTATACTGATACAAAATCATGACAGTGTAAATGATTTGAATATAAGTTCTGACATATTTTTGTTTTAAACTAAAGTAAAATAAAGTAAAATCTAAATCAAAATTAAACAAGAATATACATTTTTTTACATTTGCACTTACATACATTATATTAATATAAATAAATTTGCACTGCAACCAAAGACGGTCTAAACCGCAAACCCAAGCGTAAAGTCCCTTCACTCCTTTCTCCTCAAAAGGGGGTTACACAAGTGGCTTCTATCACAAGTCACAACCTACAAAAGTGGATACTGTACGAGTACAAATTCTCTTGTGGTTCCTGTCAGTTGTCACAGATCACGAGAGCAGAATCCAAGACACCAAAATTATCTCTATTTTCCAACGTGGAAGATTTTAGTCTTTGGAAAGGATAAACCACAGCCACACACCTCAACTCATTTATTTCAACAGCCACTCATCCCCGCCACATATAACCATTGTTTTTTCTTTTAATGTTTTGTTGCCTTCCTTTTATTCTTTTAAATTAAACAACTTTAATAAAGAACAATTAAAAACTGGTTAAAATGACCAAAAACAAAGTTTGATTTTATGGTTGGCACGTGGGGTGTTTAACCACATCCATGAACCTTCTCACTTCTGCGTTTTTCTTGCCCGACCCACAAACCTTTCACTTGATGTGATGTGATAAGTGACATACATCATTGAGAGGGAATAAACACATATAGTTTACCACCATAAGCACAAGATATTTTCAGCAACTTAGAGTATGTTAAAAAAAAACTGAAGTATCTTCTAGACGGATATGGAGGAAAATCAAGCCGGCCCTATTCAACAAAACTTTGTATTAAAAAAGTAACGCCCAATGTATTTATTGGATAAATTAAAACGAAAGGGAAACAACAGAAAAGCAATAATTCCAATTCATCCCAATCCGTCACGGAGACATGAAATGACGCAATCAATGGAAGCAAATTTAATTGTATTAGCAAAAAAACAGAAACATAATACAGTCAAGTTTATTTATCAAAAAAAAAAAAAAACCAATGGAAGCTGGTTTGTCGTGTTCTACCCATTGGCCTCCCCAAAATTTAACATCATTACTATCCGGTTCCCTCCATCCAAATTTCCAAATACGCCTCTATCCGTTATTCTGCTAAATTGCACCATTCCTTCATTTGGATTTTCTGCACTCGGAAATCGGAATGGTGAGTGATAGATGCATTTCTAACATCACACAATTTTTATGTGCATCCAATTCACATGTGTGGGAAAATTAAATGACAAGTTTTTTCGTCATATTTACATGATGCAATTTTAGAAACTATAAAAACAAGAAAAAGTGAAATAAAAAAGAAATCCTTTTCTTCTTTAAGCTTCAATCAGGGGCGGAAGTCATTTACAATTGCAACTTCAAAGCAGAAATTTTACAAAGAAACAATTGGTTTTTCTTCTCAAATCTTCTATCAATAGAGAGAGTCATCTACAAATAGACTTGTGTTTTTTGTCTTCAAGGACTAGTTATAGGTAGTCTTAAGTTTTGGGGTTCAATCTAACTCTGTTATTGAAAATCACTTCCATTAAAGACGAGCTCATTATTAGGGCTAGAGGAGCCATCCATTGAAATGATTGAATTAGAGAGCTGCTGTTTATCAGTTTTTTATTTCTTTGTCAATAGCTATGGTGCGTAATAATGGTTAATTTGAGATCTAACTTAATTGATATTGTTGGGCAATGGTTTAAGATCTTAGTGAAATTTCTCATTGTTGATAAAACTTGGTGTAGTTTCATCTTGCTGAAATTGGGCCTTCAAAGTGAGAGGAAGAAGAATCATTTATTCTTATGCAAATAATTCATCAATCAAACTCTGTTTCAAATGTTTTCTAATTTTAAGTTCACTCAACCTATTTTTCATCGGCTTATTTTTCAAACAGATGAATTTTCTCTACTGATTGGATAATTCAAATTAGGGAAATAGTCTAAAACTCATCAAGAGTTTTCAGCATCTCTTAAACTCACCACAACTTTTTAAAACGTCTAAAACTCACTATGTCACCAAGTTTTTATTTTCCAAAACTCAACTTCCGTTAGTACACCGTTAATGTTTTTTAACAGAGGTGTTCATGTCAGCATAAATAACAATTTTTATGACCAAATCACCCTTGAATGGCGAGTTAAAGGAAAAGGGTCTTTTTCATTTTTCAATTTTCTTTTTTTACATTTTAGTGTTTTGTTATAATTTCTAATGTTTTTTATAATTTCTGTTCTTTTACATTTTTCTATTTTTCTATTTTCTACAACCTATAAAACTTCCTGTATTTTTTGTTATTTATTTATAATTTCTTTGTTTTTCTATAATTTTTTTGTGTTTTTTCTACAATTTTTATTTTCTGATTTTGTATTTCAATTTCTATAGTTTCTATAATTTGAAAATAATTTTTTATTTTTGTGTGCAATTTCTATATTTTTTTATATTTTTTTGCAATTTCTGTGTTTTTATGTAATTTATATTTAAAAATATTAATTTAACTTTTTCTTTTTTTATATTTAAATATTAAAATATATATATATATATATATATTTTACATATATTTATATTTTATATTTTTCTATAAAGGTTAAAATGATAATATATTAACACCCGTTAGTCTCTTTAATGTCAAGTTAGTGATATGATGAATTTTAGACATTTTAAAAAGTTGTGATGAGTTTAAGAAAAATAGTCATGAATTTTTGACAATTTTCCTTCAAATTATCTTCATATATTTTAGGTTTTTTATTTTAAATATAAAATATAAAACGTTAACAAAAGGCATCATCCGAACCCTCATACTCATACCTAATCCACCTGGATATACACCATTCAGAACAAATGAAATTTCCTGCCCAGTGCCCACTACTCTCTACTGACATGTGGGTTAGGAAAAGTGAACAAGAAACAGGAAGACGGAGATCCAAACTCATTCCAAGCAAATCACCCAACATATCTAAATTCTGGGCAAGACAACGCCACGAGGCAGTGCATATTATCCATTACTCATTACTTTGTGAGATATCTAGACCCCATGCAATGATGCAATTAATATTTCAATAATCACGATTCACCAATAACCAAAACATGTGGCGAGCATGCAATGACAAGAAATCAAATAGGTGGATTTCAGTGATCGACTTTTTCTGCAAGTGCAAGTGTGCAACTGTGCAAGGGTGCAGGTTTAGCCTACCGGCGCATACGAGAGCCACGCACACTAGATCTTAGGTTCCATATGTTTTTCGGTTGATTGCTTCAAACGTGCTTCAAAACTGGCCGCGGTATTTGTTGACACCGATGAAGACGATTTCACGGTGATATAATATGGATCATTTCTTTTAAATAATAATAAGATAATAGTTAAAAAATAAGAATACCATGGAAGATAACTCGCAACCTGCACAAGCAGTAAGCACAGCATTCATGAGTCCGGATCTCCTAATACTGCGTCCTGCACTACTTTCTTCACTTCCAATTGTAGGTCGCTAGGTCAGATCTCCCATGTACAAATAGTTTTAACTTTTAACGGACGTTCCAAGCATTCAATATATGAAAAATTATATAAATGAAATAAAAATAGGGATAAGAGAAGACATGGCGTTTTTTCTTCCTCTCGCTTAAAACTTTTCACCACCGAACCGAGTACGGCTGAGCTCCAAGCGAACCACTGACGTAAAATCACACGCTTGAGACAACAATACAGGCGTGCTCAGTTCACCACAGAGGTTAACTTTCTATCCATGGGTAGTATGGACCGATACGCTCAGTTTGAAAGGAGTACAAATGCAAATACTAGAATGTAAAACCTTTTATTTTGTATTATTTTTGTATATATTTGCATTTATACTCTTTAGTCATAATGTCAGATGAGCCAACCAAACAAAACAGTAAAACCGTCGGCTTAGATGGTTCAACCTCTAAAAGACCTTCTCATTCAACCAGGGTGAACCTCCTCTCTTCGTGATCTCATGAATCTTCAGCCGGTTTATTGTTTTCACATGTGTGAACTGATTAATAGCGAATTTGTTGGCATATGAACAACGAGAGGAAGAGAAGTTTGAGAAAGCTTAAAAACAAGTAATTATCTGAATAAGTAGTTATTTTGGGCCCGTAACCATATCAATAAGCATTTATTTGCCTTTAAAAAAATAAATTCGAATAATTACTTATTTGAAAAATCTAAATTTTGGGCTTATTTTAAGTAGTTAATTAATTATTAATAATTGACTGTCTTGGCTCGTCATTTAATACTACCCCGGTTTGAAATAACTATTTCTTTTCGTCAAAGTAAAGTACTTATTAGAATAAGTACTTAGTTTTTTAAGCACTTATTCAATGAGCACTCCAGAACTCCGCTAATACATGCTAAGTAATAGTAATGGTTAGAAAGAGTGATTAATCGAGATTTGTGTTAGAAAACATGATCAATAAATCAGTAAAGAAAATACGAAAAAAAAAAAGCTAATTTAGATCGAAGGACTACTGAGCGCTTGAGGACACGAGATCAACGGCTCTAGTAAAACCAAATATCACTGAGGAGTTGTCTTTACTGGCAAGTTTGTCTCGATGGAATCTCTTAAGCGAGCTAGCGAGCGCCTCCGAAGTCGATTCGCCTATGTTTCTCTTTCGATCCCTCCAAGGCATTAATAAAGCTCGATAAGACGTAGCTTCGCCGTCCGCCAAGTTCCGATCGGCCGCTGCCCCCAGGTTATCGTTGTTTAGGTGGGATGACGAACAGCCGAGATCATCCTGCCATCATAAGATCCTGACCGTTAAGACACCGTTAGATTCTTCAGTATAGCAATCCCTCACAGGATCCCTATACTGAAGGTTTTAAAATAGGAAAAAATTGAAACCATCGAATTCAAAGCGGATAAGCAAAATAAGAGAAACAAAGAATTTCTGTTCGAGGAAAACTATCAATTACAAAAAAATCTATAGATATTTTTCTGATTTATCCACGAAGGCTTTAGAGTTGCAAGCAGTAAGGAGAAAATCGGAGAGGGAAGTGATTAAAACATACTTGATACCAGAGATCTGCATTCTCACGCATCCGTTTGAACGAATAAGGCATCGCTGACTCGTCACCACCTCTCCCACCACTACTCGAAGACTCATCACTGCTAGAAGAACTGGCGACCGGCGGAGGAGGGGTAGACGACCAAGGAACCACCTGGTTCTCTCCGTCGTCATCATCCTCGCCGTCGCTGTCAAGGTCATCGTCGTCGTCATCGCCTCCGTCTTCATCATCATCGTCGTCGTCATCATCCACATCATCGTCTTCATCATCAACATCTCGATCAATCTCATCGTCGTTCCCTCCGCTTTCTTCATCAGCTCTAACTACTCCAGCTCGCTCCACCCTCCCGTTGGAACTATTAACACACTTCTCGCAAACCGAGACCGTAGGACCAAGCTTCGCTCCCGAAGCTTTCCACGGCGTCGGAGATTGACAAACATGGCAAAGAAGACTCCTTGAATGTCTCGCGACGAGGAAATTCGCACCGTGAACTTTCGCATCACAATCCCAACACAAACTCGCCTGATCTGAATCGCAAAACATCCTGGCCGGATGGTTGCAGAGCTCGCATTCCTTCATCGCTTCTACAACCAGTCTTTCCCCAAATCTCAATCGCTTATAGTTTTTGCTCTTCTACTCGTTCGCTGCAACTAAAAAAAACGAAAAGGAATTTCAAAAACCTGAAAAGAAAGTAAAGGTCAAGCAGCGACGATTTATAGAAACCACCTTGCCCTGCCAAAAATGGTGAATAAGGGCAGTACCGTCATTTAACGAGAGTAATTAAAGAAAAATGAAAAGAAATTAAAAAAAAAAATCCTACCTGTTTGTTCGAAGGTATTGGCGTGTTTTGCTTCCATAACCAGGAGTCAGGATCTTCTACCAACATATTATTATCTCCACAGACCACAGCCTAGGGTTTCACGAATGACGCCCCGAGCCTCATCTACCGCACCCCGTACCCCCACGTGTTCATATCCTATTTTTCCCGGATTTTCGACGGTGACTTGTACTTCCAAGTTGGCATCGAAGGTGAAGCGCAGATTCCCTGATGTGTATGTGGAAGGGTTCTCATCCACTGTTGTTCGACGAGCCATGTGAGGAGCACCTGGGCTAGAAGTCTGACGTGTAACGTGGGCCCCATCAAATTTGTTGAATTGTTGATCCCCTCCTTTCTCTTCGGCCTCAAATATTCTGCAAATCTTTCTTAATAAATTAAATTAAATTTGAATTACAGGGAGTGTGGAGGAAACAGCTCGTCGTGGGCGCTCGTGCCGCGACCACCGCCACGACTACGGCATTTGACACCATATCTTCGCGCACACTCCGATTTGATGATGTGGCATGCCCACGTGAACGCATCCAATGTGGCGTGAAACCAGATACATATGCCCAACGGGATTTGACACGATATCTCCGCGCGGACTCCGATTTGATGATCTTACATGTCCACGTGAGTGCATCCAATGTGGCGTGAAACCAGATACATATTCCAGTGGCATTCCCACGATATCTTCGCGCAGACTCCGATTTGATGATGTCGCATTCCCACGTGAACGCATCCAATGTGGCGTGAAACCAGATACATACATAAATATATATATACATATATATATATATAAAGGGATCAAGAAATTTTTTCTTTTTTTTAAATTTTTTGTTTTTTTATTTCATGTCATTTTTTAAACAATCAATAAAATTTACTTTCCAAAAAACTTAAATAATCTCTTTTCCTAAAATTCTCCTAAACTACCTCCCCCACTTTCTCCTAAATTATCTCTAATTCCTATTTATCTTTTAAATTATCTCTAATTCCTATTTATCTCCAAAATTATTTCTAATTTAGTAGAGAATTCCTCTCCTAAATTATCTCTAATTCCTATTTTTCCTCTCCCCCACTTTTTATTTATTTCTTTCTAAATAAAGTTTGGATTAAAAATTAATAATTATTTAAATATTCTAACAAAATTATATAATAACTTTAAAAAATTTATTAAAAATACAAAAATTAATTTTACATTTTTATAAAATACATCATGAAATTATGTACTAATAATTTGAATTCTGTTTTTCGGATTATCAATTTAAATGTTATCAAATAATAAAAATTTAACATTAAAAATAAATAATTATATAACAAAATATTTAGTAATATGTAATAGTTTTAAATAAATAAAATTCAAGTAATAAAAAAATTATAATTATTTTACATACTATTTAAATGTTTAACATAAATGGATTTTAAATAGTTAAAATAATGAAATATGTAATAAATTTAAAAAAATCTTAAAAGTAGAAAAATAGCTATAACATAATATTGAAATTAATAATAATTTAATACCTTACAAAATTATTAATGAAATTATGTATTAATAGTATAAATTATAATTTTATGGATAATTAAATTCAATAAATAACAAAACATTCTAAATATTTTACATATTATTTAAATATTCAAATAACTAAATATTTAACATAACTAGATTTTAAATAGTTAAAATAACATAATTATGTAATAAATTTAAAAAATTTCTTAAAAGTAGAAAAATAATTATAACATAATATTGAAATTAATAATAATTTAATATCTTACAAAATTAATAATGAAATTATGTAATAATAGTATAAATTATAATTTTGTGGATTATTAAATTCAATAAATAATTAATATTTTAAATTTTAAATACTTTACAAATTATTTAAGTATTTAAATAACTAAATATTTTAAATAACAAAATATTTAACATAACTATATTTTAAAATAGTTAAAATATAGAAGTTATGTAATAAATTAAAAAGAAAAACTGAAAAGTAGAAAATTAATTATAACATAATATTGAAATTAATAATAATTTAATATTGTACAAAATTAGTAATGAAATAACTTTAATAATAATTTAATGTTTTTACATAATATTGTAAATAACTAATTTCACTTATATCAATTAATAATTTGAGAAAATAACTTTCATAAAATTTAATATTTATTAATAATAATTTTAAACTCTTAATATAAACTATTATTTGAGATTATACTATTTATTGATTAATTTAATATATTTTTAGTACTTATTTATTTTTGTAATTATTGTATTTTTCATTATCAATACATTTTCGACAATTGTGTATTTTTGCTGTAAATTTTCAATAATTATTGGAGATTAAACTATTGTTATTTATCAAATATGAAACTATTAATTTAGTTGAAATTATGAGTGTTCATGAGTTGGTTTTGTTCGATTGTAGGTTGTTTGGCCAACCAAATGGACCTGGTCAAGTTGGAGAGTTGGTCAGCTAAAACTGACTAACCATTCATGAGAACTGACCCACTCAAGTTGTATAGGGTTGGGTCGACTTTTTTGTTTGGTCAATCAGTTCAAAAGATTTAAACTTAAAAATTAAATTTAAAATTTAAAAATTACAGTGCAATTGTTAAAAAATAAATTTAAAAATTAAATTTATGATATAAAACATTTTATACTAAGAAATATGGGAAATTTCCCACTTTTCTATATTAAAAATTATATTTAAAATATAAAATATTAATATATATCAATGGTTAGGTCATCCGATTTTGGTTGGTTTACAAATAGGCAAAGTGAAACTGATCCAACTTGATCGAATTGGAAAATTTTTTAACCAAAGCTGACCTAAAATACTAGAAAACCGACTAATTCTGGTCAAGTTGATCGGGTTGGTTGGTTTCATCAGTTTGATGAATAAACCTAACTGAAATTAATTATTGTTATTTTTGTATTATAAAAATTCATTAAAAGTAGTATATAAAATATGAATAATTATTAATTATTTAAAAGTTGAAAATATTAAACAATTGTATGCTCTTATCTGTTCTATTAGGGTCATTTACTAGAATACACCTTATAATTTTACATATTTACTTAAACCAATCTTATAGTTTTCATTTTATTAAAATATCCTATATATTTTACAACTTATTTATTTAATCAATCTTTCATTAAGGAGTGTTTGTTTTTCCATTAGGTCCATGATTTTTTATTCCAAAAATAACCTTAACACTTTTTTGTATAGAAACAAAATTGACCAAATATAGCCAATAGAGTGGTTGCCCGTGTCTTATTAGGGGCAAAATGGTATTTTTATTTTTATTTTCTTTTGATTAAATTTATTTAAATGAATATTAGGGTCAACTAGGAATGGCAACAGGGCCGGTTCGGGGCGGGGATCATATTCCCCGTCCCCTACCCAATTATGAAATTAACCCCCGTCCCCAATCCCCACCGGGGATAAAATTTGTCCTCTATCCCCAATCCATGACGGGAATGGGTTCCCCGCGAGGACCCGAATCCCTAAATTTTTTTTAGATAACAGTATTTATTTGAAAAATAAATTTACTTAAAATAAATAAAATTTTTAAATTATAAATATTTTTTTAAATATGTTTTGATATATCTATATATAATATAAATCATATAATAATATATATTTATTATATAATATAAATAATATAATACATATACATAATCGGGGTTGGGGTTGGGGCGGGGTGGGGACCTCAATCCCCATCCCCGACCCCAACTCCGATCGGGGATTCCTATTAATCTCCGCCTCGCCAAAACAATCCCCATCCCTGACTCCATTGGGTTGGGGAAGTTGCATCCCCATCGGGATGGGGAAAATTGCCATCCTAAGGTTGACACTATCTAATGGAAGATTGATTAAATCAATTACATATTATAAGTGGTGTTTTAGTAAAATACAAACTATGGGGTAGATTTTAATAAATCCATGAAACAATATGGGGTGTTTTAGTAAAATGACCATTTCTATTATTTAGCTTTTGCTTAACAAATCCTGTGCATTGCACAAGTCCCCGCTAGTATATATATTAAAACAAAGCGGTCAAGAAATTTTCTCCTTTTTTTGAATTTTTTATTTTTTTATTCCATGTCATTTTTTTTTAAAGAACCAATGAGATGCTCCCTTCCTCAACAATCTCTTCTCCTAAAATTTATCCTAAACTACTTCCCCCACTTTCTCCTAAATAATCTCCAATTCCTATTTATATCCTAACTTATCTCTAATTTATTATAGAATTTCTCTCCAAATTATCTGTAATTCCTATTTATCCTCTTTGCCATTTTTATCTACATCTATCTAAAGAAAGTTTAAATTAAAATTTTAACAATTATTTAAATATTTTAACAAATTATATAATAACATTAAAATATTTATTAAAAATACAAAAAATAAATATAATAGATTTAATAATATTCATATTATTAATAATTTTATATTTGTACAAAATTCATCACGAAATTATGTACTAACAATATAAATTATGATTTTCCAGATTATTCAAAAAATAGAAATTTAACATTAAAAAATAAAATATTATTTCAATATTTCAATAACTAAATATCTTACATAATAAAATATTAAAACTAGCTAAATAATTATATAAAAAATATTTAATTATTTGAATATTTCAATAACTAAATATCTTAAATTCAAATAATAAGTATTTTTCAATATTTTATATATTATTTAAATACTTAAATAACGAAATATTTTAAATAATGAAATATTTAACATAACTATATTTTAAATAGTTAAAATAACGAAATTATGCAATAAAATAAAAAAAAATCAAAACATAATATTCAAAAAAATAATAATTTAATATTTTTACAAAATTGTGTAATAATAGTATAAGTTTTAAAATAATTATTAAAAACACAAAAAGAATTATAATAGATTTAATAATATTCATATTATTAATAGTTTTTTACTTTTACAAAATTCATCACGAAATTATGTACTAACAATATGTATTATGATTTTCTAGATTATTCAAATGAAATGTTATTCAAATAATATAAATTTAACATTAAAAAAATAAAATATTATTTCAATATTTCAATAACTAAATATCTTAAATTCAAATAAT